GAACCCACCCGTTCGGAACAGCACAGCCCGAGCGAGAACAGCTGTTTCCATTCTAGCAGCGTAGGGGTAAACTTGCACAAGGCGAACAGCAAGAGAGAGAAAGGGAGAAGAAGAAAAAAAGGGGGGCTAGCTAGGTCTTTTGGGACCTGGGGGTGGGCTTTGGTGACTTTCTGTATCACGATGATACGGCGACGGGGTTTCAGACCCGGATGAGACCCCTTGCTCTGAGGCGCGCCGCAGGGCTTTGGCTGAGGAGTGACCTAGCGGTGCAACGATGGAAAATCAATAACACCGCTCAGCGAGTCCTTATCTTGGTACCTAACAAGACTAAAAAGCAGCACCTAGTCAGTCACGTCTTTCACCACGTCTTTCACCCAACTAGAAGGCCTGCCAATGTCTTCGGCCCGTCTACTCGGTCAAGGACCAAACTATTCAGTGTGGCAAGGGACTCGAGCACACACCGTAGACGTCATGAAGGCAGCTACAAGTAATTAGGGTGCTGAGTGCTCACTCCTCGCTCGTGCTGAAGCCTGTCATTGTGAAGAAGGGAGCACATGTTCTTGGTGCAGGGATAGGATAGCAACAGCGCGCTCAGCATTGATGCGTCAAGGTAGGCACAGGAAGACAAGGTAGGCGAAAACTCAAAGAGACAGAAGAGCAGGAGCACATGATCCATCGGAGCTGGGGGGAGAGTTCCTGTATCCTTCTGGATAGTCAGCACGGACGACGCTCATGCCATGCGACTCGATACGTGTATTGGAAGTCTTGGGAGGTTGGCCCCCGTTGGTAGTTGCCCGTTGCCGCGTGAAAGTGGTCCGGCACGGAGGCAGCGGAAAGTGGAAGAGGGAAATAAAAGTGGAGATGTTGGACAGGCGAGCAAGGCGAGTGGATGATGGCGAGTGGAAGGTGAGGACCAGGTGAGATGTGCCTGAGGAGGCAGACCGATCGACCTTTCGCGGGGCTTCTACGGCTGGACAGGAAGGGAAGAGAGGCACAGAGAATGGATTTGGGAGGGAAGGAGAGGGACGAATGACATAATCGGGCTGAGGGATGTGCAGCGCTACGGCATGACCCTTGTTTGCCTCAGGCATGAAAGACTGTAGGAAAGCTTGCAGGCACCGAGGAAAGTCCCCATTCGTCTCCGCAGGTTCCGAATAAGTCACTCACCACCCGGCCGCACACGCAATCGCCCGCGAATCCCCCATCCATTGAGACAGCCCAGTCACCTGTCCTGCCCTGTGTCGTCCCCGGTCCGTCACCTTAGCGCGTCCCAAGCTGTCCCCGATTGCCCCTCTCTGAGGTGAGTCTCTCTCTCAGTCTCTCCCCGAGCAGTGGGCACCCACGCACCCAGCAGACTAACGCCACTTGCAGCACCTGATCTCCATCTTTTTACTGGGTAGAGGCCCGTACCACTGGGCTGCGTCAGCGCAACCTGCCCTGCGTACCGTGGTTACGAAGTGACCGACACACGCTACCACTCTGCCTGCTGCTGCTCAGGTCCCTTTTTACTCCACCTTAACCCATTGACACGGCATTCATGTCATTGCACCTCTCCTCCCACTCCAACTTCAAAATCTAAACCTCCCTTCTCCTTACCGTACCTATCGATCAACTTCGACTCTATTTTCTGTCGAAACAAAACACTCCCATCACCAAACAGACCCAATCGACACGTCCCCTTAGACATCAAAACAGCCGACAAATAGATTGAAAGACAACAGACCTCGTCAATATGTTGTTGAAATCCCTCGCCGCCGCTGGCCTGGCGATTACGGCCACGCAAGCCTTCGTCATCGTCCCCGAGATCTCCGAAGCCGACAACGAAATCGTCAAAACCCTCCCCTTCGTGGAGGCTTCCTCAGATGTAGGCCTTGCGAGCCACCGCGTCAAGGTCGATTGCCCCGGCTGCCCCCTGACGATGCGTCAACACGATGGCCGCTACCACACAATGACGGACCTCGACAACCACCTCGAGCTCACCTTCTCCATCGAAACCGACACCACCGGCGTCGACCACCTCCTCGTCAACGACTTTGAGCTCTACCCTAAGCCTGCCTCGTGGTACAAGGCTCTCCGTGCTCCTCAGATTCCCGACTTCGCAGAGGCCGCTACCAAGCACCCTCAAAACGCAGACCCCAACACCCCTCAGCTGGGTTACAGCCTGGGCGTCCGCCCCATCGCCAAGGATAACGAGCAGGAGCTTGAGCTCGTCGAGGTTGATCTCCAAATCATCGAGGTCGGAAACAGCTTCGTCGCCGACGTCCCCAATGTTCAGGTCAAGCTCATCAAGTCCCCTACTGGAAGCCTCATGATCGGCAATGTCGAGCAAACCGAGACCTCCGTCCCGTCCCACAAGGAAGAGGAGGATCACGAGCCGCCTGCTGAGGACTGCACCACCTTCTACTGCAGATGGCGCGCCGCCATCTTGAGAAACATGCGTGGCATGAAGTGCGGAGGCCGCAAGCACGGAAGCATGCGCGGACAGCACCGTCACGGACACCACTCTCACAACGCCGGCCAGATGAGACACCACCACCACACCTGGGGTCAGCTGGCTAAGAACATCACTTCCCACATCCTGCTCCCGATCCTCATCGGCATTGTTGCTGGCGTCAGTGTTAGCATGTAAGTCTTCCATTTTCCCCCGTACCCCCCGGTCGCGAGACCCCCTTTCCCGCGGATCCACTAATACGACATTTCAGCATTGGCATGATGGTTGGTACCTTCGTCGTCTGCCTCTGGCGTGTCTTCGTCCGCCGTCAGGCCCCCTTCGCTCGCCGTCACTGCCGCCGCCGTGCCCGCAGAAACACGCATCGCGAGGCCGGTGCCGTCGAGGAGAAGTCCGAACTCATGGCTGAGTCCGCCGACCTTCCTCCTTACAAGGACGAGGAGGAGGACGTTACCAAGACCGAGACAGCTCAGGTCTAGGAGAGCGACATCATATTGGAACCGAACTTCAACTTGAAAATCAACTCACGTGCGAAACTGATGATACCACTTTTCCTTTTACTCCTTATCGTTGCTTTGCAGAAAAAATAACCAACACAAGAAATCACGTATCGAACCACCAAAAATTGGACAAGAGAGGAAACTACACATCTCATAAAGAAGTGGCGTTTTTGTTTTTACTTCGATTTGGTTCTAGGAACGGGACTGGCAAAAATTAGGAATCTTTTCCCAACACACATAGAGCGTCTTACAGGATGCTTTTGATGTGTTTCTTTCGGAGACGGATCGTGTGCCGGACGTCTACACATACACTCTCATTTTCCCACCAAGCGTTATTGTTATCAAATGGACGCCATGATAGCCGTAAAGCAAAGCATCGGGGACTCGAATTTGTATTCATAGGCTTTTCAAAAACCTACACTCCTTGAATTGATTCCTCTAAGCGAGCCATATTGGTATTCACTCCTACCCGTGATGTCTGACCAAGCTTCTAAAAGGAAGCCCGCGTGTAGACACACGGCTAAGTGACGTAATTCCCCTTTCTCCTTACACCAGTCCCACGCTACACCACATGCCTATATGAAGTCCAAGCTCTCTCTCTAGGAAACCTCTTCTCAGTCGTCGAGGAGCGGGAACATCTCATCCCGAGGTAACGCATGATGGAGGGAGTAAGTTGCCATGGGATGGAAAACTCTACCGGGAGGTGTCTGCAAGTGGGTGACAAGGTCGATTTCCGCTCGACACATCCGACAAGCAGTTCCACCGTTATTATCACTAGCATTGATATCTATTAAACAGAGTATATTTCTCTACGTGTATACCTCAGAAGGACCTTGATATAGAAAGGGATAGTAATTATGATATGAGTAGTGAAAGGGTTGCTTATCGAGATGAATAGCAGGAAATCGATTTCGTCACTCACTTGGTCTGTTTGTGTGTAGTCGGGACGTTTGACGTCCGCACGTATCTCCCGGTCGTCCCGGTGCTGGCGCTTACCACCACCACCACCTTCATTACCGGGTATCAAAGCTAATTCGGTAGTAGGACTCTCCTTCCGGGTTACTGTGCAGTTACATAATCTCCGCCGGGCTGGGATGGAGCGTAGTTGAATTGGGGATGAAGGCAGTCGATGTCAGAAATTGCTACCACGGATGAATGCGTGTTGCGTCTGATACACCCGATCGATACATGGCAATGTAACAATAAGACGGAAAAGAAGGGAGGGGGTGGCGTGGGGTGGGAAGAGTTCACCACCAGTCGTCTTTTTCTTGTTGAAGCTTGAAGTAACTCCACCACGCAGCATAGTTTCGACCTGATCCGTCGAACCTGGACGGACACTTGCTGTGGTGGTATGGTGACGAGCAAGGAGTTGGATAGGGAGCATACAAGGGCTTTTCATTGTGTATAAAGATTGTTTCTATATTCACCTGGATGGCGGTAATGAGGATAAGGTAGTTATCTCGGGTCCACACGATACTTTATTCCATCGCGCAGCTGGATAGCCTGAAAGATTCGCCAGGAATGGGTACTCTGAACTGCGTCGAGTCCCGTGGTATAGGAGAAGAAGAGGTATTACCTTCTCGCAGTGTACGGCCGACTATATTATTCTTATGTCCGTCGCAGTCCCTAACTGCGGCAGGCCAGCGTCGTCTGACTTATTTAGAGCCTAAGACGAGGAACTAACTTTTAGTAGGATTTACGCTTACACACAAACACGTTTTCACGATCTTCTCAGCCTTGCAGCCAAGAGACGAACATTTCAGCATGACCAAAGTATGAGTTGTGCGTGAAAAGGTTAATTTGACTTCTTGGGTTATTCCGTCAGTCTATGTCTCTTGTCATCCAAATCTGTCTGTCCTAGACACACGTATATGAATTCGTGGTTCGGGTCACCGTCAATCTCATGGTCTGCCACATATGTCAGGGAACGGTGCTCAGAATATTATGCCTCTGGGCGCGAGCAAAAGGTATACAGTAAGAAAGTGAGAAGAAAAGCAAAAACGCCCCCAATCCTAAGCAATTAGTCCCGGTTGCAGTCGTGCTCTGCCCCTTCAAAAAGCCAGCAATGAGTCCTGGGGCCTGATGGAGTAGTAAATGGTCAGGTAGGCGCCCTTCTTCTCAGAGTAGGCGAATGAGATGTACGAGTGCGTTCCTGTGGTCTTTCTCAGGTCCGAACGCGGGCTAATCAAATAAGTCAGTATTCAATGAAAGAGAGAGAGGCACATAAGTCGACTTACAAGCAACGAGCCATGTCATCTTGGTACTTCTCAGCGACAGCCCAGCCCCTGGAACGGAAGGCTTGGGCTAAATTTGCTGAGATGACGGCGTCGCTGTCGGCGTATTGCCAAAGCGGCACGTATGCCTTCACCTCGGGCCACTTCGCGCCAGGCTTGAGCTCGAAGCCGTAGCAGATGCCCTTGTGGAGAGTGTTCACCATCTTTGGCTCCTTGTTCCAATCATCGTCGTGAGGCTCTGCCTCGTTGTGAAGTAGATGCCAAATGCCTTTAAGAATCTCGAGGCCCTTCAGCGTCGACTCGTCCTTGATCTGCCCGCCGAGAGTCACCACATTACGGACGACGTTGAAGGCGTTTGACCGGGTGCGAGCATATACCTTGACGCGGGCTCCTTCAGCAGGGTCGATGCAATCCAGGGCGATCATCTCTACCGGAATGGCAAATGGGCAATTCTTGAAGTACTCCTCCGTGGCGTTGGCAGACTGGGAAAGGTCGGCGCCCCGGGGTGACAAGGTGCGGATCGCGTCAAACGTAATGTCTTCGGTCGAAGCACCCGTTGCGATGTGTTTGAGGACCGGGAAGAAGTATGCCTTGAAAACAGCCTTGGCGCCATCCAGGTCAAAGGCAAGGAACGACGTTGGCGCACGAGTTCCCTTTGGAAGTCTGGAGAGAGCCGTCTCTGACTCCGCCTCGGTCAGGAATAGAGCGGACATGAACTGCTCAAACCACCGAGTGTCCACACCATGAGATACCATACGCAAAGCAGGAAGGATTGCAGGAATGATCTTCTGTGCAAATGGGTCTGATGCTGAGCCGCCATGTCGACCCATGGGCTCGAATGAGAAGCGAATCGAAGAGGAGCCCGAGTCGGTGATGTTCCACGATGGCTCGAATGGAGAGCCGTCGGCGGTGAGCAGGGGTTTAGTCGGGGCCGTGGCCGGGTGAGGACCCATGCACGGGATGATGATCTCCGAGAGAAGCTGGAGGTGGGCGGCACGCTGAGCCGGCGTGTAAGAGCCGGCAGCCTTCATGAAAGCATCGAGAGTCTCGGCGCAACGAACATTCCAAAAGTCTTGGTCAGGCTTGTGAATATAGATGGAGCCTTGTGCCGGAAGGCATAGGTCCTTTTCCTGTTTAGCCATGGCCCGAGGGGACAGGACTTCGGACTGACTGAAGGTCATGGGTGACCTCGGTGACCTCAGGGCTCTGGGGGAGAGCTGCAGAGGGAAGGGTGACCTGGGAGTGGCCGTGTAAGCGGACGCTGCCATAGTGGGAGCCATTATTGCGGTGAGCTGATGCAAATATGGGTATTAGAGAAGTGTTTGCGAGATGAGTTTGTTCTTCGGTAACCCAAAACCAGAAAATGGGAAGACTGTCCAGGACATTATATCTCTGATAAGGTAGTTCCAACCCATCAGAGCACCACACTCAGCTGCGATTGCCTCAAGCGGCTCTCTCAAGGCTGATCCTGAAACCGTCTGTCATCGCGCAGGTGGCTGGGTTGTTACGGCCTGCCGGTGCTCTGCAGGGACAACGGTAATCCAAGACTTTGGTGAAGACAGGATGGGCCAACATATGGACCCTGCCGAGGGCGTGGCAGTCCGGGGACGCATGGCTGCCAGTCGCAAGTTAACTCGGTCTTTGCAGTGAGGCCAGCCGTCTGGTAAGGTCGACGGGGAGGTTGTCCGCTGTCAAGAGCAAGTGAAGCAAAGGGTGTTCCTAGGCCGCCGGTCAGTTGCATTGAGAATACGGACACTCTCTCATGGTCCCCCCTCTGCCGGACTGCCATATTGGGCAACCACACGAGAGGAACCCGCTAAAAATCCGGTGGTGTGGTCCGGAGACGTCAATCGGGACGTGAACTTGTCCATGCCTATTTTGCGAGGAGAGAACGGGCCCGAGAGGGGCCCGCGTTTCTTGGAGATATTTCGCATTCGTTCTTCAGCCGGATAAGGTGTCTTTTCTGGCGTCACTACCGAAAGAAAAGTGGCCAAAGATGGCAGCTTGTGTTTTGTGACGAAGTAATCCGTACGCGAATGGAAACAATGCTACACATCGTTCGCACTGACAAACAAGTCAGTCAAAATGCAAGCTGCGGGCTGCGGCTGCACATGGTTACTTACAGCTACATGCTAGCATTGCCTCTGCGAAAGCACAGCTGCTGTCACAACCAGCAGAACCCAAGGCCAAGACCGCAGTGTCAGTGTGTCGGTGAGGCGCAGATAGGAGAGAAACACCGTTTAACGCCGTCCTACGCAGTAGCAGCTTGGTGTGGTCTTGGCAGGTACCAGACATCGAGATAGACTCTTGAGCTTTGGTCGCATCTTTCCTTGTTGAGAAGGTAGGCTAAGAAATCTTACCGGACACCCGGAGGATGGAAAACAAAATGGAACATGCTTTTCGAGACGAGGGGTGTGTGAGAAGCTTCGAAACCTAGGCTTCTCTGGAAGGGTGGAAGATGAGATGAAAGGTCCGCCCTCGGGCATCTACCTACAGAGAAGGACATGGCTGGAGACAGTCTGGACTTTAGCTTCCGCAGAGGGGCGCACTAGCCGAGGTGATCGGTTTAACCTGCAAAAGAATGCAACCTGGAGACGGCTTTTGGGAGACTCATGCGGGAAGAACTCAATGCGGAAGATATAGCTGTTATTGGGGATGACCGGCGGTCTCGAATTCAGGAAAGCAAGCGAAAGGTTGCATCCAATGCCCATCAAGCAACCGGATTGCCATCTTGGAAATTGCGTAAATTGTATTGATGGGTTACGGGGAAATGTTTCGACCGGCCGGGTTTTCGTGGAATTACAATTTTACCTCTCCTTTGCGAGAATTATTTGCGTAGGGAAGATGGATCCTTCGGCTTATTTCGACTACAGAAGCCCAATCTAGGACGTCCTGCCAACTTATTCTTTCCGCGTGGCTTCATGATAAGTAGGAGCTGATATCTGAAAGAAGCTGCTAGGCCGGTTCGTTGGCTTGTGCATGGAAACCAGTGGTCATGGGAGAAGGAGAAGCGCAGGCGCACCTGCACTGCCACGGCCCGAGGCCGCGCGGGAGACAAGAGAGGAAAAGAGCCACATCTGCTCGAAGCTAGCAAGTTTAAAATCGCCTCTGAACCTCTCGGTCTATCAATCATTTCATTCTGGGCCCAGGGTGTCTTCGCATGTTTCCTGTCCTCACCCAGTGAAGTTATAGCGTAGACGGATACCCCATTGAGATAAGAAAACAGACTGTGCGAAGGAAATGTAACGTGCCGTTCATGATAGCGAGGTTAACTTTGCAGAGTCGCCTGGACGTAAGAAGGATTTCAAATCCAGCGCTTGGCTGAGTAAAGTTCTCTGAATCTGCCTGCCGGGAAAGAGTCGAGCAGTTTGTGGCCGAGGTCTTCTGCATACCAGCAGAGGACCAGCTTACGCTCTGAGAATATTGTCTGCGGGCTCGGCAGTGACATCACGCCGCATCGCCGTCTTCTGTGCTTGGGTAGGAAGAACGCTCAGAATACGAAGATAGAAGGCTTCTATGCTATGACTTGTCTGTGGCTGTACCGTCTCATGCTTGCCGTGACCCTTCTTCTATGGAAGCAGATAAGCGGGCTGTGGGCTGAGGAAGAACTCGAATGGGCAGAGTGCTGCGGCTTGAAGATTTCATGATGCACCGAAGTACAGACCAACCGTCCGAGCTTGCGTCAAACATGATGTTCTGGTGGAGTGGGGGTTGCTGCGAGGGATACTGGCATCCTGCTGACTTACTTAGGTAATTGAAAGTCAATGCCGACGTCGGGTCACCGTTCAACTCTCTCCTTCAAAAGAACCCTCCTTTCTGACTATCAACGAGCATTCCGAGGAACCCCCCGGGCCGCATGTTATATATCTAGGCGTGCCGAAATAATCCATGTTAGCCTGTGGCCATACAGGTGCAGCGTCTATCCCAGATGCTGGCCAGTTGTAAGTAGGCATTTGGTCTCCATGTCTCATTACATTGGTGCCATGGCATGCAGCCCAATTTTTCATTACGTCTCAAGCGGTTTGTTGTACTCAGCCCAAGTATTCCATCTCAGAGCTACATTGACTTCCAAGTTTTCATATCGACCTGATCCCATCCGGTCCTTCCAACAACAGAACAACTATGTGAAGCGAGGGGCTCAACTTTGCCATCTTTTGAAGGCGGCACGATATTCCCAGGTCTGAATAATGGCAACGTTCCAGCTGAGAAATCCAAGAATTGAAGCTTAGCTAGAGGTTGTCTTACTGTTGAAGTCTCAGCGACGGGCTCGAATTCCTGGGTGATTGATGAGCCGCCCTGGGCCCAACCACACGTCAATCAGAATGTATCTGATCTGGATCCATGGAATTATGGCTGGTAGACCGAGACAGCCACGCTGCCTCATTGTCATCTCAGTGCTGTGCCATGCATACCTACCTGCCCCTTCTCCCTTATACCAGGCTAAGGACTAATCATGATCGTTACCTAGTGGATAAGTCCTGTAATACCAGGATGGAACTAATAATTCACTCGGATAACTCAAGGCAACACACATATCTATTGCAGACATTCTTCATGGTCTCTTCTATTCCTTTTGCTTTAACATGTAGATCCCAAGTTTCCATCGCTTGGTATACTGTAAGAACATTCCTCATCTTTTCGAGTGCTCTAGACAATACTGTCTATACATGATGCCTTCTTTTTGGTTTACAGTCTTCTTTGCCATCAGCTATGCCTTCAACTGCGTGCTCGGTCAAGGGACTGCATACAATGTTCCGCCTATGGGGTATCAGGGATGCGGTATGCTATACAACACCTTACTGATAACAGTAGTACGAAACGGGACCGACAATGGGCCGCAGGTTTGCCAAGATCTATGCATAGCCAATAGCAGGGACTTCGCTCTCCTTCGCGATACATATTGCTACTGCTCCTTACCCGCGGCCGATATCAGATTCGTTGACACCGTTGGTGTTGTTGACAGCAACTGCAACTACATCTGCGGCGAGGTTCCGCCCGCGGGTTCTCCTCCTGCAAACTGTGGTGGAAACACGGGTAACCAGCTCTTATACTCTGTATATGGCACGAGAGCGGTGCCCGTCGGCTTGTTTGCTGGCACAACAACTTCTACCACTTCTACCTCGTCTTCGTCGTCTTCTTCGTCGACTTCGTTTTCCAACGTCACTACCTCATCCACTTCATTGACTTCATCGCCATCAACATCATCCTCAACAGACTCTACCTCATCCACTTCATTGACTTCATCGTCATCAATATCATCCTCAACAGACTCTACCTCTTCCTCGTCTAGTTCATCAGCATCTACCACCACAACCTCGCCTTCATCCTCATCTACCTCTATCACATCAAGCTCATCCGCCACTTCCACGTCTAGCACCACGACTACCTTATCTTCCACCTTTTCGTCAACATCCGGTACTTCTTCAACACAAACCTCATCCTCGTCTTCCTCGTCCTCGACTGATACCACCTCCGTATTTTCTACCTCGCCTACGTCTGCCTCGACAATATCCTCGACAATATTTTCGACATCTCTCTCCTCTACATCTTCCACGTCAACATCGGCTCCATCGCTGACTTCATCTTCCACAACATCCACCTCCTCGTCCTCATCAACTGGAACTACTTCAATATCCTCCTCCAGTACTACTTCTTTGAGCACCTCGCCTACAAGTTCACTTAGCAGCACTTCATCTTCCAGCACTGCTACGGCAAGTTTGCCTACAAGTACTTCGGCCACAACGCCTTTAACCTCAAACACCATCTCAGGAACATCTAGCACCAGTAGCTCTTCTACTAGTCTTGTAATAACTAGCTCTGTCTCGAGCAGCGCATCAGGAGGCCTGTCAAATTCAACTTCTACCTCTTCAACTCTCTCATCATCTCTGAGCATCACCTCCTCTTTCACAAGTTCGTCCTCGACAGCCAGTGCTTCGACGAGTAGCCAAGTCACCAGTCCCATCAGCACCCCAAGTGCAACTGGAACGATTACTCTATCTGGCCCAACTGGGTCTCAGACACAATTGGGCGTCACTAGCACCTCGTCTTCCTCAATATCGTCATCAACCGCAAGCCCATCTACAACAAGCTCTCCTGTTCTCCTTGGGCCCCCTTTTCTTCTTACTGTCTTGACGCAGCCTACCTCTACGAGTACCGTATGAAATTTGGCTCGGCTCTCCATCAGACATCAGAGGGAAATAATTGATGACATTTTTGTGGTGAACTTTGACGGAAGCGACTGTCCTAAGCCACGTACAACCTTTGTCTAGTGGCTGTCAAACAGAGACAGAAGGGCTAACCGATGTTCCTGGACTGTAAATATTCAACATACGTTCGTGATGGTCGGCGCATCGTTCATATTGAGTTCTAAAAGCGGGGTGTCGCCAGTTATGAGAGAGACATTCATGAAATCCCTGAAAATAGCAATAGAATTAGAATTAGAAATGAAAATAATCAAATACTGACGTCCTCGACATAATTAAGAGAACAAACTGAAGGCAAGATATTCCTCTTTTCAAAACACGATCTTGCACACTAGCCCACCCCGACTCCACCACCAACAGACGACGAGGCAATAATACGTCCCAACAATCTACGAGATTCTGCCATCGTGGAATATCATTATCATCTGTGTTTGTTTCCTCTGAATCGGCAACGTCTTCATCGCACATACTTCAACAGCAAGGTGTGGACATCCAGGTCTCGAAGTCTGATGGCTAACTAAATCCCGCATGTGGGCCGTCTTCCACCGTTTGCCCTTACTAGCCCAAGCGAATCCGCACATCGTAGGTACATATTCAGCTATTCCTGCACAAAAGGACATCAAGCATCTGTAGTGTAGTGGTTATCATCCTTGCCTTCCACTCGTTTGGTTGAATAGCAAGGGACCCGATTTCGATTATCGGCGGATGCACACAAAACCACATTTACCTTTTGCCTGGAAAGGCTTCCTTTGCCTCTTGACTAGGGTCTATGGAGACAAGCACACAATCACGCTATTCACGTCGATCTTTTGTCCTTCCATGGAGTCCAAACTTCCGTGGAGAGAATTAGTGGAGAGCTTTCGAGAGTTGGTTTTTATCTTCTCTTGCTCAAGTTTCAGGACTTTTGCTATGAACTATTATGTCCCCCATATGGTGTTTCCAGTCCTGAGCACTCTGGTAGACTGACAACTTCATTCATGTTCCTGCCCTTTGTCCTTCACAAAACGCACCTTGGCCATTGAAGTCTTGAATATTCATAGAAGTACTCCCATTCACATCCCAGCGCAGCTCTGCTCGCTGTATTGGCGTCATGCTGCTTGGTACTGTAGCCAAGATGGACTCAGGCAAAGCTGGAGATGTGTCTTACGACTTGAACTCCAAGATGACATCAATTTCCTCCATTACCCAAAAGAGCAGCTTTGAACTAACGTCATGTCTTACTCTCTTGGGTCTGCGGTCAATTGCAGCGGCCAGGTAGGCAGGAAATCGAGTGCCATCGCGAGTCAAGTTAGGATTGCCTGTATCTCTGGAGCACCTTGACAAATGGACTCTTAACAAACAAACAATCATTGATCTGCACCATTCACCTGCTTCTGTATAGTTTGTGGCGAGTCTGCCTCGGTACACCGCCCTGGGTCTGATCTCCCTGTCGATAACCTCATTTCTCTCTCGACATCTCTCGAAACTGGGGATAGTCAAAGTCCTTCGCCACCCAAGTGATCAGATTGATCCCCGACCTGTACCGCCCTTATCAGCAGCACGCGAGAGAGCACTGGAGGTGCATGTAGTAACATCGCCCGCGGACGCGAGGATGACCAACGTCTTCTCCCAACGCATGTTCTCCAGGACCCGGGACAATCACGTTCCGGACTTATCTTCGAACACTTCAATGACGAATAATATCAGCGTCAGAGCCTTGCGAAAGTCAAAAGAACCACCAACACGTCTGAGTAGAGATCGACGGGAGCCAAGCTCGTGTTCCCTGAAATCACGGCGCAAAGATCTGAGAGATAACATGCCTCAAGTTGCCCTGACTACGCCCAAGGAGTGCAAAAGTCCTGCTTACCTCACTTGTGTCTCAAAGCGCGTCGATTACTCTGGTCGAATAAGTAGGACTCATCTCTATAACGGCGCTAGAGAAGTCGCCGTCTATATCTAGCCCCAATAGGGGAGGCGAGTGGTTACACATCTCTCGTAAGACCCAGGAAAGAATACCACGGCCATAGCTGAGGTGAGCTGACTTCTCTACCACATGAACTACATAATTAAGTCGTCCCAAATCGCAAATTTCACTTATTTAAACACATAGTCACAAAGCCCTCAAGGTCTACTCCTCTCTAGCACTTAGAGCTCCTTACAAAAGCGACCGTGTACGACGGATCAACGTAACGGTGGCCGGCCAAGTCCACAATATGCCTCATGAGGTCGATTTCAACACGGCTCTACTGAGTTAAACCTTAGGCAGGAACAAGCCGCCAACGTAGCGGTACTGGCCTTTGCGATATACCCAACTCAACTTAAAGTACTTTATACGAGCGCACCCTACCCCAGTATTCACCCTAGGTCAGAGAAATACACAACCGTCAGTCGAATACTTCCTTCTCCCCAGCCAGGCAGACATTGAAGTATCCGTAAGCATTTTGTAGACTCCAAATAGAGGCCTCAGAGGAAAACCTGTACCTGGATTCTTTGACAGGAGATATAGCAGTCCACACCGTCGAGCGGGCTTCGGGTACGTATGACTTCCCGGTCGAATCATCTCCTCCTTGGCTTTTTGGGAAGAGCATAACTCACGGAAGTATATCCCAGCTCAGTGGACCGCGACGAAGATTATAGCGCGCCCAGTACTCGCCTCGGCAATGTGGGATGCCGAGATGAGGAATCAGGAGCCCGTCTACGGTCTGCATGACTAGTCATGCAATACTGATATGAACGGTCCAAGATCAGAGTTCTTTGGTCTTTGAAGTTTTCTTGAAAGAGGCAGCTGATTGTGCCATACCCGTCCTTTCGATCAGAGGAGCCTAGCATGAGATTCACTTGGTGCTCGGCGAGTGAGAGATGAAGGAGAGGAGAATAACAGTAGGAAGAGGAGATAACAACACTTGTTGTCCATCGAATCCTCGTCTCGGCATTGCTAATCAGATCAAGTGCATCCGTCTTGACGAAACTGTCAATCCTTACAACGGCACAAAGTTCAGAGTCTATGCAAGGTCAAGCTCCACGCTGCAACAGAAAACACGAAAACAACGCAGCCCAGCAAAGTCTCCCGGACCTCCCGTAGACCTCCTTACTGGAAAGGGAATGTGGAGAACGCTCTCTTCGCCGAAATGTCGTCAAACTTCGGAAGCGCGTCTAGCAGCGGATTTGTACCCCCCCACCCCGTCCGGAAGGTCGGACACGGGTTCGCGTTCCCACCCCCACAATCCCGGAGCAGCATCCGGGTGCGGGTTGGACGGGCTGGGCCAGGAGTGGTAAGCTGCGCCAAGCCGTCAGCCGTTGTGTGTTTCCCTTGCCCACATTCCCTCTCCTGTCAGCCGGGATTCTCAGCTGTAGCTGTGCGCCCCCTTGGCGGCAGCGCAGTTGAATATTGGAAAGTCTTTCTCGTTTTTATCCAATGAAAGCAAGCCCTGAGCAATTATCGAGGAAGGACGTGCTTGCAGCTCTCGGGAAAGCTAAGGGCAACCTAGTCCCGCGACATTAGGGCCGATGCCACGGATCAAGGTAGAGTGACTGCGATCGCAGAACCTTCGCTCTACCCTCTCCTCTTCCATACCGCCCTTACGCCCGCTGCTCTTCACGAGGAGGGCGGAGCGGACAGCGGAAGCGGCAGACTGTGGTCTTTTAGCCTATCTGTGAGTTCAGCTGGGTGAATCATCACGCAATAGATGTTACTTGAGGGAAAGCGGCTGTTGCGGCTATGGCCGGCTTGCCCGTTGCAGCACTTACACCCGATGGCACATGCGAGGCTTGAGCTGAACCCTTGAATCCCACGATAAGCCCTATGGTAGGGCTGTTGCTGGCTATGCGGGCGCCATGTCGGCGGCAAATAGGCCTTGGGTATTCTCAGAGCCAATCAGTGATGTCCTGTAGTCTTCTCAATCCCACGGCGGCGAAGGAATGTCGTTGGACGGAAGCTGGGACTGAGCTGGAGGTTCCAACGGGGTGTGATTCTGTGGCTGACTGTGCCTGACGCGGCCACCCTGAGGCATGTTCTCGCAACTTGTAGCATATGCGCTTTTAAGAGCAACTATCCTGCAATGAAACATGTGGCCATGTGTATTTTGTGAGACTTGATGGCTGTCTTTGAAATTCACAGCGGCAGCAACATCCGTAGCGGCTTCCGGTGCCTTTGAGAAGCATTACTGGCCCAACAGAGATTTTTCTTCTTACGGACTGCAAGGTTTGGTATGCCCGCCAACGGTACTGCAGACGAGAAACATCCCCAAAGATGCCTTGGGATCGTAAGATCGGCAACAACCACAGATAATTAGCCGTAAGCCTTTGTCAGCGATCTCTATTTTTATGTGAGAAATGTATAAGCTTAAAGCAAAGCAGGATTTTTTCCGAATGGACGAATTCGATACGCTCGGGAAAAGGCGCGATCCTTTTGCCACTGAGCTCATCATGGCTTCTCTTCGTCTTTGTTTCGAGCTGTCGATCATGGTGGAAGGGTTGGGAGAAGGACACCCGATGACCTCCATCGTCTTTCCTTTTGTCCCCCGCATAGCCGCTCGCCTTCTGAGCCGCATAGTTTGATCTTTGATCGGTTGTCCGTCGGGAGGCATACGACGTTGATGATGCTACCATGGCTGACTGAGAACAGTGCTCAGATGCGAAGCAACAGGGTGAGCCTGCGAGCCTGGCTGATCGTTCGATTACGATAGAAAGTTCTGGCAGGTTCATCCCTCGAGACGGCATCCGACCTGCCGTCCAGTGTACCGTGCCCACCCCGCGTGCAACGAGCCGAGACCCGGTCAATCAGAGAATCGATGGGTGGCTTCTTGCCACAAAAACTGTGCAGTCGGAGATACAGCCCGGTCTGCAGCAAAGATTAGAGTTTAAAGGTCGTCGTTTCAATGGGTTGTCCAACACCGACGAGTCTGTGTCAGATTTTCTGGTTGCCAACAGAGTTTTGCTGAACAGCCGCCTTCGGCACTACCGCGGCCAAATCAATCGACATTGCTCACGTCTGGGCTGTGGACATCGCATGAATATGCATTGGCATTGTGCGGGTGTCCAGTGACTTCAGCCTTACGCGAGCCGCTTGGATTTATTGGCGACAACACGGATATTTTCTGCCCCGCTGCCATGCTGGATTTTCATTCCAGATGTGCAAGTAGAGATCCTTAGGACGGTCTGTGATGCCAGGATAACCACCATGGTGAGGGACTTCGACCATACGGATCTAAGCCAGCCAGTAGCGGTGAAAGCTTTGGTTGCATTGCTCAAGGAGTCGTTCGAGACAGGGGGGCCGGATTGGGACGCGTACAATGTAAGGTAAGCTTTGCTGGGTTGAGTCCTGGATCCAGCGTCTGAGCTATGCGCAACAGACCCTCGGACGAGACGAATGAGACAAGACGTTCTGCTCTCGAAGAAGATCTGTAACCAGGGAATTGGCACATTTGGAGGTTCAGGAGTTTGATGACTTGGCCAGGACATTTGTGCTCCCCCCATGTCGCTAGAAGGGATATTGCTATCACAGTATCTTTGTTCGTGCGTGTGCGCGTGCTGTGAATGTGCCAATCAAGATAAAATTAGTGTGAGAGCGACAAGTCAGCCATGGTTTCGAGGAGTGACCATCGCCCTTCGTACAAATCGAGGTCGCACTGGCCTCGCCCACCAAAGCTGCAGACACTCAACAGTGCCTCTTCTAAGCATCTGCTTGGAACGCCCAAACTGGGTTTACAAGAAGCCCCGATGAAGTAAGTATATCGCTGATTAGTTGCTGGCCTCGCGGGGTGCGCAGCGAACCCAGGATGTGCCAGGAGCAGATATGGTAGTGGAAGGGATCACCGGACTGGGCTTGAATCCTCAGCCGCCATAGAGTCTTGCAGATCATTTCCAGCAATGGGGTTTGGTAAATGCCCATGGTGAAGTTTGAATAGCAGGAGCGGTGAATCGTCCAATGTTTCCGATGGGCGTTGCTCATTTCTTCGGCTGATCTGGCCGTAGAGCCACAGCTTGCCTTCCAGAAAGAGACGACACAGCGGTCTTGAGTCAGGAGGTTTGACGGCATAGTTGACCACTCCCGGAGTTCAGAGTCCAGACTTGGGTTCACGAAAACGAGGCCAAGACGCAGACGAGGCGAGACTGAGAGTGGAGGGGTCACAGTAGGTGCGTGTTGCCGTAGAACGGAGGGAGGGTGACCGGTGGACGGCTAAGACGGCTGGGTACGGGTACCTGTAAAGGGCACACTTCCATGCAGCGGGAAGCTCGAGACGCGGTTGATGCCCCCAGGGATGTTGGAGGTTTGCCTACGCTGGCACGCTGCGGAGTCTTCTGCTGCGGAGTGGAGTTATTGCCCGCCGGGTATCCGTCTCGGTGCCCTAGCCTGTCCGTACGGACCTATCTAAGTTTCTGTGAGAATTAATCAGGTCGCCGAGAGTAAGGGTATACTGTGTAGTGATTGCGGATGGCCAAGAAACAATCAGCCTGGGACGTTTGAGCTGGATTGCAGGAAAGGCCTGTGTAGAGGCTGGACTAGTTTGTAGTGGGTAACGGACGGTGAACCCGTCGCAAGAAGAGATGACGACGATGATGCTCGCGAAGGTCTGGATAAACTCTGATTAGCCTGGAAGATACGGTTGGACATGTTACTTCGGATGCTGCTCGACAGGCAACGTCAAGACGATGAATTGAGGCATAAGACGGCAGGCCACGGGTGTACGTTACTTGGATGAGGGGGAAAAGGACGGGAGGCACCTTAAGCAGCAATGCTGCCGCCGTAGAGAGGCCAGAGCTGTTGGGGAGTAGCTGTGTGACCTGAGTCTGTAAGGTGCGGTAGGTTCGGTCAGGTTGCATTTGCTCGCGCAGGCGGTGCAGCCATAGGGCCACTGGATTTGACTTTCTCGGTGGGCAGAGGCAGAGCTGCATTCATGACCGGTGAGTAGAGAGGATACCCTTGCCGGAGGTCATGCAGAAACGGGAAACGAAGGCCGTGGACCTGAAGCCCGCGTGGTCCCCCGTGGCACCCCCCAGACAGAGGGTTTGTCTGGAAGATCGATGCGATGCGATGCGGTGCAGTGCTGAGCTGCAAGGCTGGTGGTGCTGGCGCCGGTTGCCAGTGCGCCAACGTCTCGAGAAGGGGGTACGTGAGCAACAGATAGATGAAGGAGCTTGCTGTAGACGGAGACTGGGGACGGGGGAAACAATCAAGATGTTGCGAAGAGAAGAAAGCACAACAATGAAAGAGTGCCGTACATTGTAAGCATACGCGCATATGGATAGATGGGTAGGTGTAGCATCATTGATGGGTGTGCTTTGTTGAATGAGGAAGGGAGTTGAGGCTGTCTCGGAGAGAGCATCCGTCCCCACGCACTTAGGCAGGAGAGGAAAGGTCCCATCTACTTCAGGGCTCGGTACGGAGACAGCCAAGCCGGAATGTACCTTAACTCGCCCTGTCTTGGAATCTGGAACTTGTTGGCCCTGTCAGCTGCTGCCTATCTCAGACCTGCCTACCTGCCTGTCAAGGAAGAGAAGGAGGAGCGCCTCAGATAGTCAGACTACTCGTCAGTACCTTACCTAAGGTGCCTTACTCCGTAGAGGATGAAGTAATACTATGATCACTAAAGGGTACGCTTCCCACCTCATATGCCTGCTGCTTCATGTATCTAGCTTGGTGTAGGTACCGGTATCTCGCCTGAAGTTTGAACAACCTGAACTCAAGGGAGGAACAAGGAGATGCTCAAATGCTCTGCGTTGATGAGGCAAGCACGGGACGTATTTGCTCCCGGCCTCTACTCTTTTTTCCTTGCGGTGTGCGGCAAGGTAACTTGTGGATTATGGATCACGGAGCTTTAGACTTTAGACTTTGACGCCTCCATCATTCACATCCCCGGCGTCTCGTTGGCACCCTGGCATCACGGAGTCACGGACCAGCTACGCATACACTACAGACACCAAGCTCATACGGATCCCAATTTCTACGAATACTTTTCCTTTCACAGGCCTCTCGTTGATTACACTCGCATCGATTCCATGGATCGGTCTGGAGCCAAGCACTAATCTCTGCCCAATAAATCATCCCGCCTAGCCCGGGTCTCATTCCATCTACCTGATCCCATCGTCGCCATCCAATCCAGAGTGTCATCTATTCAAACCTACGGGGGAGTCTATTGCATAGGTAAACGGACAATGACTGGCCCATACGGAGTACTGCGCTAGTGTGTTGACACTCGACAGGAAAACGTCCCCTACACTCTATCACACAGTAGACTTGGACTTGGACCGACTGATCAGGCCAGTTCCACCAACAAGTGCCAACTCTGTCCAAGGATCGGCCATCTGTCAATACTCTGCTTCAACCAACAAACTTGGATTCGGGCTTTGTTTGCTTCATCGACAGCAACCTTATCCCCGCTGTCACTCCAAGTTAGCTTTTGGTCGAATACCCTGACATACCCCGAGCAGTCTCGCCCCCTCCTTCCCCTCGCATCTTTGAAAGCATCTGGTCCAGCCTGGTCAGTGCCCTTGAGATTTCTCTCCTTGGTCGAAGGGGCGAGACTGGGAGGGAGGGATGGAGCCAGACCCTTCGTCTCTCAACTCAGACGAGTCACGAACGACGTCAAGGAGTCCCCCAAGCTTTCTGGGGACTGCCCGGACCACGTGCAGCCACCAAAAGCCAGAGGCAACTACCAGCGAATGGTGATTCTGTACGAATGGGCAAATAGACGCAGACGTGTTGCTCAGTATTATCGGCTTGTCCAGCCTATTGGATGGTCCTCTCCCTCGTACACCAATTTTTCGATTGGTTTTGACCTCGCGAGATAGGCAGGCACCTTATGCTGGCTGCTCTGAAGACTGGGACCAACCTCCCTTAGGTTTGGTTATATTACACCACGCCTCATCCCGACCTGGGTTTCCCAACTTCATGACATCAGAAGAGAAGCCCGAGAATTCAAACGCAGAAAGATTGCCCTGGCTGCATTACCGCGTATCCGTCCATCTATTCATACATACACAGTACTTCGTACACATGCCCCGGCGGACT